CAAAATCTCATTATATTTGCTTACACTTACAATGTGTTGATATTATTTTTTATATCCTGCCTCTCCTTGACCTCCCTTGTCCTCCAGGGCTTAGCAGATTTTCCAGGTCCATTACAACAGTGGAAGAAGGTTTATGTGACTAGTTGTCACTCAGCCTGTGTGTGAAAGGTCCCCATCAAACAGCTAGGGATAGTTACTACACCATAGTCAGCCCTGTTTGAACAAAGGACTCTATGACTGTGTGAACGACACTTCTGATAAGGCAGATATTTTAGGAAACAAGCAGAAACATTTCGAGGATATTACCACTAGACAGGCATTTGTACTACCCAAGAGTTCAGCACTTTCAATATGTGATAAAATGCCAAAAAGCCGTTTTTTGCAGCCACATGTATAAAGTGGGACCCATTCCATTTAAACAGAGGACACTATATTTGTATAAAATAATGTAAAGACAGTGTCAATCTCAGACCATTACCAGTACAGCTGAAGATAAACAACACTGTGGCTCTGTAGGTAAAGTTACCAGGTAAGTGGATAAAGAGTTGTTGTCAGTATATTGTGCTCTGCCAAGAAATTAAGAAATAAGTAGAAATTAATAAAAGGTTCAATAAAAGAGGCTATAATGTGCATCAATCTATTGCAAAAGCTTTTAATAGTAAAACTATTACTTATTTGTGGCTATGGGACTTACTTGTGACTATGGCTTATTTCTGACTCTATGTCATGAAGTTGTTTTCTGAGTGCAGAAGGAAGGTAAAATAAACATTCTATTTTCTACAAAAGCTTGGGTTCTATTTAAAAATCTTGTCAACCAGAAATGGGGAGGAATGTCTGAGTAAGAGCAAACATAAAATGACTCATTATCTTCTGATAAATCAAGGCACAACAGACAATGTATTTGTCCAGCAGTATGATCATATGTTCACATTATTTTGATCAGGGATAACATTAGCCAGCTAAGCTTCACATTTGAACAGCACTTTAGCATCCAGCTTTTCATTGGGTCAGCAAACAGTCTCAGTGAACTAAGTACTCACTGCACTGAAAGGTGGTCAAAATTGAAATTTCTGTTCTGCAGGAAACCCTGACACTTCAAAATTTGATTATGCTCTAAATCAGAAAGAATGTCACTACTTCAGAATTTCCCATTAAAGAGATGTGTTGAAGAAAAGATATTCAGGAATCTAAACCAAAAGCATTTTGGTAATCACAAACCAATTTATTTTTATATAATTGAGTGGTTTAAATTTGATATAGTTAGAATCTTTGCATCAATTGTATCTAAATGCTGTCTGAACCATTTTAGATTACATTTTTATGTCGTCATAGTAATATAGTTAACATTAATATATAATGTAAAAGGCAGGACAAAATAAAGAATGGGAATTACTAAACCAGAAGATTTTTACAAAACTGAAATAATTATGTTGGACAGTTCTCTGTGGATATCTGCACTGTATCTAAAATCTTAAAATAAGACTATCCTTCATTCACTGGTAAAAAACCAGAACAAACCTCCCTCTCCCTGCCTCAAAATTACTCAGTTGAAAAACGTGATTAGGTCTGGCCTCTCTGAAGTGACTGGGAGTTCTGGCATTGACATCAATTAAGTCAGAACTTTATTCACTGATTTCAGATGGACTACCTGTGTACTTGAAAACATGCAAACATGAGTCCTGTATTGATCTGGAACCTTAATAACAAAACCTCAAAGAAAATGATCCCATCTTAATCTCAGCTGAGAGGATAGAGCAAGACTCCTAAACATAGTGCATAAAGACTCCTAAACATAGTGCATAAACTCTCAAAAAAGCAAAAGCATTGTCTAGCCAGATTCTGAGTCCATTTTCTATTAATTTATATCATCTGGAACAACAGCAAAAATAGATTATTTCAAAATTAGTTTGACCAGTCCAGCAATTTTAAAGTATTTTCAACCACAGGAAAATACTGACACTATTTTTATCATACACTTAGAAAAAAATCATTACTGTTACTGCATTATTAAAATCTGCATACCTATAAAAAAGGTAGTGATTTCCAACATTAAGCAGACATTGTTCTCAACAGTCAATATAATAAAACTAAACCATATAGTAAGATAAACAAAAAAAGAATTCACCCAATGTGGGCCAATATGCCTCAGGCACATCTATTACATGCACATCTGTCTACAGAGCAGATTGCTATCATCTAGTGTTATCAAAAGGCTCTATGTATTTCTCAGGAAACAAGCTCACACACTTTCAATAAATCATGGTGCTAAATATATGTTCCTCTGTCAGTAAGACATCGCCTTCCATTTTGGTTATGCCTGAGAATGTTTCTTTTTTTTTTTTTGTGAGTTCAGATAAAAAAAAAGAGTAGATTTTCCTCTTCCCTCCTGCCTAATCCCTTGATCTTGTGCTTTATTGCAGACTTGAAAAGCCTTGTGGGGCCCTTTTGTCATGGAACAGGCAGGGCTTCATTGCCAAGCCCATCCACACTGCCCACCACTTTTCTGATGGTACCTGGGAGACAAATTCTTTTGGACGTCCACTGGCTTGAATATAAACATGAAGCTCCTTACACCATTTTAGATGTAAGATCTTAAATAGATCTTACATCATTTTAGGCCAATATAGTCTGAAGGGACATCCCCACTGCTGCAAATCATAAAAGACTAACAACCATCTCCATCTACCTCCAAAACTATCAGCCAGTGCAAAGTAAAAGGTGTCTTAATTTCCAACAATAGAGAAGCATATTTAAAATAAAGTAGAAAACAATACTTCAAGCACGAATCACGCAACACAACAGACTGCAAAACTGCATTGAAATTTTCAGAATGCTCACTTAAAGGTTCCTTGTTTTCTTTAAATAAATATTTATTTTTGGCACATTAACTCAACATTTTTGTATCAGTAGGTGGAATGCATACTCTAATCTAAACTTCATAAGAGTATAAGTTGGAGCTTTGCAAATACTTTCACCCAAACAGATGACTATATTTAATACTGCAGTATAACCTTACCTAGTTTCTCAAATAAATTTGCAAATGGAGTGGATTACTCTGAGGATAATTAATGTGATAGGGAGGTGGGGGTTTTTTATCTTGATGTCATTATTTGAAACTGTCTAAATTAAATTGCTACATTAAGTAATCTGGGGCACCAAATGGAATTTGAACCCTACTCCCTAGGTACAGTAATTTAGCAGCAAACAAACTTATGTCACAAAGCAGACTATTCAAGCATAAGAAAGGACCTCTGTCAACCCTGGGCAAAGAGTGACTTACTTATATTCCCAGTGGAAATACACCACAGAGATGGAAACTGAACAGGGATCTCCCAAGTACCAAGGCTTTCAATACAAGTCCCAGCTATTACAGTGGAAGAACCTGCACTGACCCCACTGGATCTATATTAGAACTATGGTAGCCAGATACAAGACAAAACAGAGACAGGGAACAAGGAAACATCCACTGAAATGCTAGGTTAAGGGTCAACTGTCTGTGTTGGCAGATATGATGTACCATTTTGACAATGCAAGTCCACCGAGGTTCTCTAATCTCCGTTAAGTATTGCAGAACATTGTCAGAGAATTTTCTGCGTTTTAAATGTACAAAGAAATATTAAATACCTTGTTCTATCAATGCATATTTTTACCTATGTTTATTATTTATCTCTATGAACAACAAAAGCAAATAAAGTGTTTAACAGTGATGAGATTTAATGGCTCGATAGAATGTGTAAAAGTTTCACTAGAAACTTGTAGCTAATAGTCAGAGGTCAACATTACCACAGGCATAAAACTAGAGAAACATCCATAAAAGGATGATTCCAGACCAATTAAGGTTCAGCAAATATTCAGCATCTGTGGGTTCCTTATGGTCTTTATTAAGCCAGAATGAAAGGGTTATGCTCATAATTCTGTATTCTTTTTTCTTTTTTCCTTTATGTTTAAAATCTTTTGCTGCATTTAATCACTTTTGGTGTCTTTCCTTCTTCTTTGCAGCAATTTTGCCTGAGCACTCCTGGGAGTAGTGTTGCATTACAGATTCATCAATGATTTGCTGCTTACTCCACATTATCCCACAAGTGCTGAGGCAAACAGTTCTTCGCCAGGATCAAATGATGTTCTATATTTGCCCACAGTTTAAAATCTTGTTAATGTTGACACTTCTGACGAAAGCCTGACAGTGACACTGGAATGAGTGTAACCTGCAGGCTTTGGTGACTGCCAAATAAACAGGTACCCAGGGCACAAAGTTTTTTCTACATCCTCTATATGCCCACAGGGGTATCATCAATTTAGGGAACATCTTTTCCAGAAACAAGGTCAAATAGAACAGCTAACACACCCTGTCTGTAGGTGATGTTGCTGATGGGTGACAGGGTGACTATTTGCTATGTTGCTAAACCAGTGTGTCTGAGAAAGAGTTTTGCTCTAAAGTCAATTAACTTTAATGGAAAGACTCCAAATTACTTCAATGATCTCTGGACCAAGCTCAATAAGAACTAATTAGGTCTCCATTCCAAAGGTTAGTTGTCAGAATTATTTATGGCTTTTTGTTTGTTTGTTTTTAATATTGGACAAGAGGGTCTTTTTTAATTATTTAGAGGAACTGACATCACTTTGAAAGTCATAAATTGCAAATACAGGTGCCAGTATTAAAAAATTTAATTTCAGGTTATCAGACAAGTAGAAAAGTTTTACACACTGTGAAAATGCAATCCACTTCATGGGGACAAAGGCAATAAAAACTACAGTTAGTGACACCTGTAATTTAGTTCTGTGGTATTTACTACACTCCACAGCCTTACTAAACCTTTCATGTGTTCTACAAGAATACAACTAAGTTTCCTGACTATAGCTTCCAGTTCTGACAACAAAACCTAGGATCTAGTCCAGAGTTGGACTTTTCAGAACTCATCTCACTCATTGTGCATAAAACCCCTAACACAGAAGATTATACAAGAGAGAACATACTCGAAGAAAGAGAGGGATACAGGTACCTTATGTAGAAGTGATACCACAGCAAATGGCTGAGCAGTCTCAGTACTATCTATGATTTATTTATTCTGTCAGCAGATCATCACCTGCAAATCAAATTAAGAAATGCTCAAAATCTGAAAGTCACAAATTAGACCAGAGTGAATTATATGATGTCATTTATCTCACAATCTTCCTCCTATTTTTTCTTCCTTTCTTTTCCTGGAAACTTAAAGTTCAAAGTACAATAAACATAATACAATCAAATTGCACTTACAGCATACAAGACAGGAAATAGAGATGTAGTTCTTCACTGTGAATTGGTCAGACAACAAAATTATTTAATTTGGAGTGTAGTCTTCAAAAAAAAGACCTAAAATCAGCTTTTGGATACTAGAGTCCAATTCTCTCTGGCACTAACAAAATGTCAAGTCATTTTCTAGCAAAACATGGGTCTGTACCTTTGCTGAGCCCTGAAAACCTAGTTATAGGAGGAGAGGAGAGCCTGTCTTTGTGGTATAATGGAGAGGATGAAAGGAAAGACATAGCTCACACCCTCACATGGTGCATACAAAGGCAGAGAGCCAAAAAGCTCTTCCTGTGGGCAGAGACAGCCCTTCTTTCTCTCCGATAGGGACTAAGCCCCCTGAAAGGGAGTAAAGGAGGAGGGTTGCTCTCCTCTCCTCCATCTCCTGTTCACCAAAGGGCCAAGCTCAAGTGAATTCTGGCACAGAGATTTTCCACAGGCTGCCCCCACCTGCCCCTTTGCCAGAGACCTTGTCAGCTGAAACATGTACCTGCTCCGTACCTGCTCCAAGCCCCAGGTCGCTCACTGTCTTAAAGCAGATGAGACACCAGGGTACAAATAGAATGCACTGAAGGTTACCTGATGGAAGTCAGGGTGGACACAGGTATATGCACACACTCATCACTTGCTCTGTGTTTGGACACAAATCCCTGGCAAACAGGTTTGGTCCGAGGTGTTGGTCTGCAGGGCTAGGTTGCAGTTAACAGTCTCTTGCAGAGCTTTAGGTCAACTGCAGTTTTTAGAAGCAGTGACACTTCACTTGAGCTGAAGACAATGAAGGTGTGGGCAAACAGACTTTCTGAAAAGCAGCTTCTCAACAGTCATAAAATCACAGAACCATAGAATGACTTGGATTGGAAGGGACCTTAAAGATCATGTAGCTCCAACCCCCCTGCCGTGGACAGGGACACCTTCCATTAGATCAGGTTGCTCAGAGCTCCATCCAACCTGGCCTTGAACACTTCCAGGGATGGGGCATTCACAGCTTCTCTGGGCAAAGTCTTGTAGTGGCACTGAGTAACAGTTACTGAGATTTCTAAGAAATAGACAGACAGTAAAAAATATTTTGGATTAATATGAAGAAAAATTGGAAGAGCTTAGATGCACTACATCCTTGTGCCAACCCCAGCCTAAAGTCTTAATTACGATGTGTAAGCATCTTTTCAACTTGTGCTAAAAATAATAAAAGAACTGGCATTAATTTGTGGCCAGTCATTCTGAAAGATCCATAATGTGGAAGTTTTTAACAAGCTGCTGTCCAACATTTTTGACATGTTTTAAAACAAGCCATCCTGATCAGCCCTGTAGAGGGTAATGCTTCTAAGTTTAATGACTCTCCAAAGAGGAGGAGGCATAAAGATTTAGCGACTCAGTAGACATGACTGCACAGACCTCTGCAGCCAGCTTGGAAATGACAAATGATTTGTTAATAGAGAAGCTTTCTTTTTGTATTATTTTTTGCCGATGAAGTGAAAACAGAGCATTGATTAAGCAATCCAAGCTGAGAATATTCTATCCAAATTGGAGAGCTTTCAAACCAGCTGCTGGTTTCAAGGCTTTGAAATAGAACTTCTGCTTGTTGCTCGATGCTTAAAGATACCTATCCTGGAGCCACAGACTGATTGATGCCAAGCTGACACAGATGTATTTCAGCTGTGTGGGCCACACCACTCGCACAACACTTGTGTAAAAAAATGCTTTCTGTCTCAAATGCTACAAACTAAGAGAAAGGATTAATAGAGATATCAACAAAAAAGTTCTCTGTACAAACAGAGTATGACTGAAGAACACCAATAGCCCAACATGTTCTTGACTCACCATCACCCTTCTCTTCCACCTGTCAGAAGAAATCATTTGTACAAAAATTCAGATGGAGCCTTTCACTCACAACACTATGTTTCCGCGCAGAATTCTACAGAAGTCACCCTACATATTCAACTGTTAATAAGAACTAGGTGTCTGGAGGGAATTAAAAATATTTGTGCGATTTTTCCCCTTGCAGAAAAGAATTAAATTTTCCACAGGAGTTTTAAATACAAGCTTCTGGCCCTCACAGATGTTAAAGTTTGAGTGATTCATATTCTCATTCCCTTGTGTAGCTACATTATTAGACTGTATTTCCCTCAATTCATCAGAGAATACACTATGTCCATAATCATAAAGCAGAGATAGTGGCATGCCATGGAAGACTAGGTCCAAACAGGACAACAAGCCCCTAAGCAGAGCAGGAACAAGAAATATCTAAATTGTAATACTCAGAAGGCATTATAGAGCCTTTTTAAAATTAAAAAATGTATGATTTTGTCATTCAACATTTTGGGATTTTTTATTAAAATAAACCTGCAAAAGGAACATGGTTTTCACTACAAATATTTTAACACGCCAATTTTAACACACTGCTGCAATGAGAAATTTTCACCTTAATCAGGTCAGTTTTTTTGGATGACTGCTGAGTAAACAGCTATGCCTGTTATCTGTATTGCAGCTCTTGCTCCAGAGATAAGAAAAATCAACACAGACATATAAGCCAAATAAAAAATATGCTTTATTTTTAACAAATAAGCATTACAAGAAATTGTATTTTTATTCAACTAGTGATCTCTACATTTTACACATCCGAAAATTAAACCAGTTATTTTTGTCTTTCTGAATTTTAAATCAACACACATCACTCTAAAAGGCTGTTAACAAATGGATTGTCCTTCATGTAGCAGAATTGCTTTCGCTTTCCTGAAAAGTTCATGGAAGAGTACAAATCCTAAGGCTAAAATCCCGTTTTGTGAACATTTATCTCAGAAAACCAGGACATATACTAGAAGGGGCAGATTTCCATTACTGTGATTTAACATCCCCATTTAATCTATTATCTCCACATTCTTGATGGAAAAATTTCCAATTGTTTGAATACCTTCTTCTTCCCTGAAAAAAAACCCCAAACAATCAGAAAAAGGGAACAGAAATTTGTGTTGACTGTTTCAGAACAGAGACTGGGGGAAAAAACGCTATCAGTGATAAAATTATTAGTACTTTTTGTTGTTGTTGTTGTTAAAATGAATTACTGAGCACAAGATTTGTTGGGTGAGTAAAAGCAAAGCTGGGTGAGCCTTCTTGTAGTGCTCTCTGCAACATCATGCTGGTATTTGAAATTCCATTCACAGTCTTAGTACCATCTTGATCAGATTTTCCTTAAAATTCCTTAACATTATGCAAGCACCTTGATAAGATTTGTTGCTCTTCTTTTTGCAAATCATAAAATCATAGAATGATTCATAGAATCATAGAATGTTAAGGGGTGGAAGGGACCTTAAAGATCATCTAGTCCCAACTCCCCTTACATGGTCAGGGACACCTCTTAACAGACCAGGTTGCTCCAGGCCTTATCCAACCTGACCTTGAACACTGCCAGGGTTGGGGCATCCATAACCTCCCTGGAAAACCTGTTCCAGTATCTCACAAGCCTGACAGTTAAGTATTTCTTCCTAAGTACAGTTAGTACCAAGTACTATTTCTTTCTTCCTAAATATAGTACATGGTTTCACTGCCAGAGAGGGAAGTAATAGCTCTGTACATACAGGAGATGACACTCTATAAAACAAAATTCTGCTTTCTTTTCTTTCCTATAACCAAGGATCCTGTCTTGATGTGAAGATCACACAGCAGGTAAGTACTGAAACACACAGAGATTCCTTACTAACCCCTCCTGAATCTTTCTGACACACAGAGAAGTGACATTCCAGCTGAGTTTTATTGGTCAAATTTGGATTCACAGATGCTACTGAAGTAAATGGATGTATTTATACACAAAAGAGATTTGAAGAGGTTTTTTTTTTCATTCTCACAGCAAAAAATTACACTATTCAAAGTACCTGTGTCCATGAGATTAAAAAAATTTCTTTTCTCATTAATTATTACTTAAAATTTATTTTATAATTTATTTGTATTGGAAAAAGTATTTATAAGTAGAAACCACAGGAGAGTCATCATTCAGGTCACATTTGTGTGGCTCACCAGCTAATCTGGAAATCTAAATCTATTGAGACTTTCTAATATCTTCTCAGAATTGTGTGTCATATTACTTATGAATAGACTCAATTCAAGAGGAAGCTTTCTAAATATCAAAAAATATTTTCTGCTTTGTCATCTACTTTGTTCAGTCAGCTTATGCCTTTTGCTCAAAATTTGTAAATTAACAGACAAATCAGGTTTTGACCCGTCCACTGTCTCCTCCCTGTAAGAGATTAATGGCTAAAGAATAATCCTACTGGATTGGCTAAAAAATGCAATGGCACCAGTAGAGAACATACCATGCCTCCTCCTTTTACCAGTTGCTTTGTATATAGTGACAGATTATTAAAGTAAGTGAAACGGCAGGAAAATAAATGAAATTTTGTCTCCTTTCATTCCCAGTATCCTACTGTAATTTCCTACTCCTGATAATGACTCTACTAGATGAAAAAGGGAAAAACCTTCCTGCAACTGAGAGAAAGATTGAGAAGTCAAGGGGACTGGATGCAGCTACTGGACATGCCCCAGAGGAGTGACACTAGCTTATTTCCCCAGATTTCACAGTAACCATGAAAAGAATGTTTGCTTCCTTTGGCCTTAAATGTATTTTAGTTGCAAGCTCTTTGGGGCACAGTCTGCAGCTGAATATGCTTTTTCTAGTGTTATTGCAACATAGCCATGACATATCTTGAGACCTGACAAAAATCCCAGTAATAAGTAGTTACCAAGGAACTTCTTCCATGCAACAATTTAGTTCTGTGAAAGACCACTTTCCTGAGCACTCACTACGGTACT